GCGATTCTATAAATTTTCAAAAGGCTTCATGTACATTGGATGGATGTGTAAAGGTTTACACTTCACGCGTTGATTCTATAGAAACAGAAACAGGAAAACTTTTAAGTGGATTGTTAAATAGCTCCAGTACTTTTAATTTTATTTATTGTAACTTTACTTTTGATATGAGATTAACACTAACGTAGTATTCCTATTTCAAAGAAAATAACGATGAGAACGATCGAGATGATGATTTTGATCTCGAAAGGCGTACTCGCAAAAAGGGTAATAATATTATTACATGGATGTTGTTAAAAATTAAATATTAAATATTAATGTGATATTTATTATAGACTACAATATCGGAAACGAAATTGGCTAAAGACTATAGTGCATTGACCTTAAAAAAATTTGACTTAGAATTCTCGGTTGATCCACTTTTTACAAGAACTTCAGCAGACTTTGATGAAGGTGGCGCTCGAGGTTTGCTATTAAAACACTTTCAGTCGATAGGGACTGCAAAATCATCTTCGATGCTAGTGACGCCATACTTTATGAAATCGGCAATGATAAGTTGACTACAGAAGATTATAACCAACCAAAAATTGACATTACCAAACATCGTTGTGGGTAAAATTATCGGATTTTCAAGTATTTGATTCTTTATTTATTAAATTAATAAATTTATTATCATCTCTTTTTAGCAATGTTTCTCTCAGAACTCCAACAAATATTCAACAAGGAGATTTGTCCTTCATTTAATGATTTAATTTTTCAGGAGACAACAATCTAGGCTTGATTATGATGATGATGATGGAATTGATAGGGAAGATGTTGAATTTAATAGAAATGACGACGATGAAGGAGTTGATAGAAACGACCATGATGAAGGGTTAAATAGAGATCATGATGATGAAGGTGTTGGTAATAATTATGATGTTTCGGGAGTATTCGATGAAGACGACATTAATCCACATACGCGATTGACGGAAAAGGATTTTGTCATGGCTATGGTCAATAATAAAAACGAATTGTTTTCTTATTTGATTCTGCGTTTTTACGTAACTGGGCAGGTCTTGAACATTGGAAGTTAAAAAGAGCTAATAAAAGTAATTAAATATCTGTTTTGTTTTTATTTTTATAATTACAAATTTTTTATATCTAAAATTTTAATTAATTTAATTCCTTAAATGGATAAAGGATCAACAGAAATTGGAGAGACAAGGGATAGGAAGAAAAAAGAACCGGTTAATAATTAGCCGTTCCAATCATTAGCATTGATTAAAACCTTCAATACTTACTAGTGTGATTAAAAATATACGCCATCACGAAATGCACTATGACTCTCGATGGAAGTCATTTTTTCGGTAGTAATGTCCGACCGAATCTGACACAACAGTACGAATAAAAGAAATGGATTGGTTGTCAAGCTACCAAGTAAAAAAATACAGAAAAAGACGTTAAAAAAGAATATAGAATTTGGACAGTTAAAGGTCAGACGAATAACATGTATCTTTAATCTATATTTTTTCCAGCAATCCTCAAAAATCAAAGCGTTATCGTTACACCAGCCTGTTAATCATTGTCTGGAACGTATAGGGCTGAGAAATTTAGAAACACCACATGATGTTTGTATCAAAATAAAAATTTTTTGGTTTATTAATATTTTTAATATCGCGATTTTTTTAAATTAATTTTTAATTTTTTTTATATTTTGGTATATTTTAATACCTCCGTGAAAGTTCGATCGCAAAGTTTTTTAATTTATAGTTTAATTTATTTGAAACGAGACAAAATAAAAAAAGATGCAAATTTAAAATGATCCATCTAGTCCGATTGGTTTCGCACTTGTTAAAATCAGCCAATAAACCTTTTTTAGAAAAAAAAAAAAAAGTATAAGTTCTTTTCACAATGTGGGTCTCTCCAAATGATTTAAATTTTCGTATTTCATGAATATTTATTTTTGAATAATTGAAAAATTATATGAATTAAACTCAAGAATTTTTTTTCAAAATGAAGATAATGAACTTAAATAATTTTATAATCTTATCAATCAATTCATTAGTAATTTTGCCAATAAATTCACAAAATGTTCTAGATCATGGATATTATAATTTGCATATTAATACCACATTTCCACAAATTAATGATATTATCTCACCTTATATACTTTCCCTTACAATAATCTATTATGATAAAGTTGATTTATCGCTTGGTAATATTACAATTTTTCACGATAGTGGGAATACAATTCAAAGCGTCTCTGGAACAAACAACAAATTTATAATTCTATATAAGGACGGAATTACTGTTCGTGTTAGAATAATTCAGTCTACATTGAAACCTGGTGAAAGTTACTATTTCTCAATTGATGATGATTTTGTAAAGGACAGAATTAACCAAACGTCTCTCGATGGTGTTAAAGAAGGTGTTTTTATTTTAAAACAGGTATGTGCTATATATATAAATTTATCTAATTATAAGTGATTTCAAAATTATTTAAATATTTGTCATATTGATTATCCTGTAATGGAATTTAGTGAGATTTTCTTCGTCTCAATAGGACAAGTTCGATTGACTCCAGAAGGGACTATTTATTTTGACAGCCTTAACGAGGTCGAACTCAATAATTTTTATTTGAGATTTTCTCAAGAATTAATAGATGCAATTTCCGATAGATTAGTTAATATCAATATAAATACTGATAAAATGACTCAAAATGACACGTCAGTCGTACCAAGACAAATTATTATACCAATTTATATTATTTATATTGCAAAATATGATAACGGACAAATTCATAATAATTCAGCAATTGAAAATTTAGATACTTGAATTAAATTTAAATCTGAAACTTTTATCAGTTCTGGTAAGCTTCAAGTTATTTAGATGAAAATTATGGAGTCGGGCTGGAGTTTAAAGTCTTTCTGTATTTTATCTCAAATTTATAAAGTGATCCTTTCTCGTCGAATTCCCTATCAGAATCGTCAAAACTGTCCAAGTTCTAATCAAATCGTTACACGCACGCCATAAGACAAAGCTAATAGTCGGTAAGCTTTGACAGATATCTATATCATTTATTAATTAAAATTTAAATAATTTATGATTAGGCTTCAATGCATTTAAATAGTTCATATAATTAATTAATACCTAGGTTGGTCGTTTTTTTTTTACATATGTTCTTCGTACCGGCCAATGGATTACCATACCCAATTATGTATTTACAACCAACATGTAAATACCAGGACATAAAATTGATACATTTGTATTTGTCTTAAGGCGGATTCTATGCAACAAGCGATTTATGTCTAAAATAAAAAGGGCAATTTTAAAACGATTAATTGAAGAAAATATCTTTATCCAATTCCCACGTGATAACCCACGCGATAACCCACGCGATAACCCATGCAATCAAAAATTTGTTCTTGTATTACAGTTATTAATAGAGCCACCTTAATAGGGAACGATCAAAATTTTGATCAGGTTAAGATCGACATTAATTAGAGTTAAACAATGGAAAACAATGGAAATATCAG